AAGGGCCATTTTTCAGAAAAACAAAAAAGCAAAACCAAAAATACAAGATCCACAAAAAACCACTAGCAAGGCTCGGAGAGGAGAGGAGAGGAGAGGAGAGGAGAGAGAGAGAGAGAGAGAGAGAGAGAGAGAGAGAGAGAGAGAGAGAGAGAGAGAGATCAAGAACATAGTGCCTACCAGAGAGGGAGACTAGAGGACTGGAGATGGGGGTGGGAGATTGGGAGATGGTGGTGGGGAAACAAGGGACATTGGTGTTGGGGAAACAGGGGACATTGCTGGTGGGAAATGTACACTTTTGGAAGTATGGGTGCTGGATTATTGTATAACTGAAACTCAATTATAAACAGCTTTGTAATGGTCTCTCTCACAGATATCCGATTAGAAAAAACTTTTTAAATAAAAGTAAGGTGGAGTTCATGCCCAATTCAATCAGCTTAAACAATGGCTGAATAAATAGCAGTATTTCTACATTAAAAAGAAAAAGCAGGAGCTGGAGCGATAACACAGCGGGTAGGGAGTTTGCCTTGCACCCAGCCGACCCGGGTTTGATTCCCAGCATCCCATATGGCCACCCAAGCACGCCAGGAGTAATTCCTGAATGCAAAGCCAGGAGTAGCCCTTGAACATCGCCGGGTGTGACCCAAAAAGCAAAAAAGAAAAGAAAAAGAAAAAAGATGAATGGGTAAATGAGTGACTGAATGAGTTAATAAGTGAATGAGTGTGTCAGTGAATGATCATGTGAGTAAATAAATTAATACAAGAATAGACAATCACTCCACACTCACCCCACACTCACCTTCACCCTCACTCACACTCACTTCCATACTTAACAAACACTTATCCCATTCTTACCCACACTCACCCCATACTCACACACACACTCTACACTCACACAACACTCACTTCACACTCAACACCACACTCACCCACTCACCCAACACTCACCCACACTCACCCTACAATTACCCACACACTCACCCACACTCATCCAACCTCACCACTGCACTCCCCACTCACCCCACACTCACCACCACACTCAGCCACACTCATCCCCACTCACCCCACACTCACTCATACTCAGCCAACCTTACCCACATCACAGCAAAGTCAACCTACACTCACCTAAACTTACTCCAACACATATATTCTCACACACTAACCCACACTCACACCATACTCACATCGACACTCACCCCACACTTACCCACACCGTGAAACTCACCTGTTTAGCACACTCACCCTACACTCACCACACACTCACCCTCACCCATACTCTCCACCACACTCACCCACACTCACCCCTCCATTCACCCCACAATCACCTACAGACTCACCCCACACTCACCCACACTCACCCCACACTCATCCCATCACTCACCCCACACTCACACCTGTACTCACCCACACTCATCCACACTCACTCTACACTCACACTACACTCACGCAAACTCATTCCACATTCACAGACACTCACCCACACTCACATACAACTCACCCACACTCTCCCCGCCTCTTCCTCACCAGGGCATAAGGCTCTGAGATCCCGAGACACTTGTTCACTGTATGACAGATGGGTTCAAGGTTATCACACCCTCATACAGGCTCTGTTCCCCCTCACCAAAACCCTAAGATCCCTGTGTCCTCTCCTGGGTCTCAGACACCATTTCTCCTGCCTCCAAAACCACCACCTATGGCATGATTGGAAACAGGCTCTGGGCATTTCAATGACCCTCCTCTGCAATCGCCTGGGAGCTGCCCCCTGAACACTTCAAGGTCATGCAGGACCTCAACTATGTCCCCCCACTGTCGCCTTCCTGCATGAACGCACCCAATTGCTTGGGCAGGCCCTCATGTAGCAGACTTGAGGCTAAAGAATTCATTGTTCTACAGCCCATATCAACTGCAGCTACTCCCCCAGAAAGGCTCTCAGACTAGAGCACAGGGAGTCTTGTGAGCTGTAGCCGTACCAGGAAGCAGCATACTTCCCCCCTTGGCTGGACTGCTATCCAGCCCTTGGACTGCCAACCAACTTACTTGTCTTCCTGGCCTGAGTCTTCCCTGCCCATCACTGCCCTTCTACTCCTGAGATAACCAAAATTAGAAGGAGAAATATTCTATTGTAAATAAATACTGAGATCATGAAGGCGTGGATGGCTGGATGGATGGCTGGATGGATGGCTGGATGGATGGATGGATGCATGCATGCATGCATACATGCATACATGGATGCAGGGATGGATGGATGGGTAGATGTGTAGATGGAGGAAGGATAGAAGGATGATGACCATGGATGATGGTTGGGTAGGAGGATGAATAATGATGGGCAGTACTAAGAAGAATGTGTGTATTGGATGTATTGGATTGTTGATGGATAAATGATAGATTTTTCAAATGAATTCAAGATGCAAAGGTAGGAGATGGGTGAATAGATGATGGAGATGTATCTATGGTTGGATTATTATCGGTTGGATGGTGGATTGTCGTAATTGAGTTGGTGTGGGAAGGAAGATGAACGAAGGATGGATGGATGGATGAATGGATGAATGGATGGATGGATGGCAAACGCATATAGAATGTACGGATGAATGGAAGTGTGGATGATGGGTTTGTGGTTGGTTGGGTGGATGGTCGGGACATGAGCTGTAGATACACACTTAGGTGCATAGGCAGTTCAATGGAAGGTAGATGGGTGGTTGATGGAGGAACAATAGAAGGATGGAGAGTACATGAATTTTGGATGGATGGAAGTTCGTATGGATGAATAAGAGATGGATGGTGTGTGGGTAGATGACATATTGCTGAGTAGTGGGTAGACATAGATATAGAACTCCATGTTCTCTCCCACTTACTCTGTACTGGGCAGAAAAATCGCCAGCATCATTTTCTCAGATTCAAATCTGGTACCAAGAATATGCAAAAAATTCTTGGAGTCACTGATGGCTTGAAGGAACATTCTAGACACCTTTCCAGTACCTGATCTCAGCAATCGGAGCTCAGCCATAGCCTCTTCCTGTCTCCAAATCCTCCTTGCTTCTCCAGACCGGCCCGATTCCTTCAGCTTCTTACCAATGTCTTCATCACTCTTTGGTGCCAGAACTTTCTCTTCTCTAACCCTGCAGTTACCCTCACCACCATCCTCACCATGCTTCCTCTGAGAGTACCTCCTTACGGAAGTCTTCCCTGACTACACAATCAATTTTACTTTACTTAATTGTTAGAGCCTGCTCTAATCATCTAATATTTCTACCCCTTTCATTATCTACCTACTTCAATAACATAAAAATTGTTTTTGTCACCTTCTATCTTGATCATCGGATAGTCCATGGGCCATCCCTGTGAGCCTCTTCAGGGCGAGTCACTGTAGTCAGCAGGTGGGATCAACTGCCTGTGCCCATTACTGAGGTCAGGCTGGGATGTGTCAGGAATGTGGATTTGATCTTGCAGATGGCCAACCTGCCTTGCTCACCCCTCATCTGTCCTCGTCCTCAGTGTCTGTGTCACCACACACAGAAGCCCTGGATTTCCTTAGTGCTGAGCAGAGCTGGAGAGGGGCTGTGTGTATGCAGGGGTCAAAGGGCAGCATGAATGGTGGGTTGATTGCCAGAGGACCATCCATTGTTTCCGGGGGATAGTGAGGAGAGGATGGGGTGCCCCTCCCACTCCCCAGAGATCTCCCCATCACGCTGTTGAACAAACGACACAAATTCCAAAGGGCTGTGGGTGATTCCAGGCTCGGGGACATGTGCCGATTTGGGTCAGGGGCTCACCTAATGGACAGGGAGTTCTGGGCTTCCCGCGAGCTGCACAGGGCTCCTCGCCCAAACGCCCTTCTTGCCTTCTGTCCTTGGTGAGGCCCCGGGTCCCCGGGAGGACTTGATCCCGGGTCCCCTGAGCTGCTCTGGCATATTAATGGGGATATAGTGGGTCTTGGAGCCCGAGTTCCTAGAGGCTGTGTCAGAGGCACAGTAACAGCAGAGTCACAGGAGCATCTGGGCGCTGGGTGGTGCTGGGAGGCAGCACCCCTCACTGCTGCGCTCTGGCTCCCTCTGCAGGTGGGTGGGACAGCCCGGCGCTAATTTCTGGGACTCTCTAGTAGTGGGGGAAATGCTTGGTGGTCTGGTGGGCTTCCCTATACTCATTAATGTGGCAATTGCTCTCAAAACACGCAATTCAGTGGCCTTGAGGGGAACTCAATGAACCTCCGAGTCTCCCATTTTCTGCTACTAATCACAACATGGAATCACTTTATGGTGGCAAGGTGGAATGGGTCACAGCACATGAAGATCTCAGCTGCCGGCCCTCAGGAGGTGTTGGGATTCAGCCCTTCGTCATGCCTCAGGGGCTAGAGACACCAGCCCTGGTACCCAGGTGGAATGTGGTTGCATGCATGAGGCTCTGGCAGCTCTGCTTCTCTAGAAATGGCCCCTGCCCTCCAATTGGGCCCTTGTTTATGGGGCTTTGTCCAGGAAGGAGGGGACACTCAGGCAGCTGGCACTTGGTTGGAATGATTCTCTGTAGATTGGGAAGCTGCGTCGAAGGCAGTGGCCAAGCAGTGGTTACCAGTTCCGATGCAGGCTTAGGGTGACCTTTTGGCACACAGCACTGACTAGGGGGCCCTGAATGGTCCAGGTGGACACATCTGGACCCTGTGCAAAGTGGATCCTAATTAAAGACAAAGAACCTAGAATGAACAGACACAGACAGGATCCAGGTGCCCAGGACCAGGGCATCTGGGTCACCAGCTTAGAGCCCAGAAGTCTGTGAGCATGGAAAGCCCAGAGCTGAGGTCCAGGGCCTGGGGCAAGTGAAAGCAGATGAAGGGCCCCTCAAAGACCTCTTTGTCTTGGCCCAGCGGAGTGTTGTGAGGAAGATGTTTATTGTTTTCACACAGTCACCCATACTGGATGAAGCCACCAGGAAAGTGACCAGGTGGGATGGGACATGCAGCGTCCTGGGCAGGGCCAATTTCTTGCCATAGGCCTCATTATTTCAGCATAAGCTCAGGCCTGATTGGGGTTTTCCACTTTGGCCAATAAGAGGATGTTCTGTGTGTCCTCAGAGAAGACGACCACCATGAAGGTCCTGCAGAAATCCAGACTCCTTGATCGATTTGGAGGAAGAATCTTGGATCCTCCTCGGTAAGTCAATTCTTCAGTGCCTTCCTCAGCCACATTCAATATGGCCTTGTGGACCACCTGTTGGACAAAGTGCAGTCACCACTGGGTGGGACAGCAGGGTGGCAACCAGCCTGCCCAACTCCTTGCAGGTCAGCTATCCTGGCCCTGGGGGGTCCCCAGTCATAGCCCCTCCAAAACACAAGGCCCAGCCAGCACAGTCAAGAGCACAGATGATTGGATAGGATGTGGGCAGGAGTGAGCTCAAGAGTGGGATCTTGGTGTCCAGCTCTGCCTGGGGCAGTGTCCAAGGTTCCCAACACGCACTGTGGGAGTGGGAAGAGGCAACTCGGGTGCTTTTCCTTAGCTCCTAAAAGGAGCCCCTGTGCGTGGGGCAGCTGCTGACACAGCACCTGGAGCAGAGTGGACAGCCCTGGCCTCCTGTTCCCTGCAGGGCTCTGGATCCCGGCTGGGCTGTGCCTGCTGTCTTTGTCTGTCCCCCAGCAACCAACTCCCAGGCCAAATCAACCCGATCACCCTTGTAAGAATGAGCTTTCATTCTTTAGGGAGTTGGAACAGGTGAGGGGTACCACCGGCTAAGGCGTACCATCTCAGCACAGCCTACGGGGCTCCTTAACCACTCGAGCTCCTTTCTGCTGGGCTCTACTGGGTCATGACCAGTACAAGCCCCCACTGTATGGTGGACCAGCAGTGACTGGAAGGCGTGGGTGAACCCTGGGCAGTAAAATTGGGTCCCAACTCAGGACATTTTCCACAGCGAGGCTGAGATCCCCAATCATACACCAACACTCCCAGGCGTTTGAAGGTGCAGGGATGGCAGGAGAGACACAGCTTGAAAAACTCCAGGGCCCTTCTGGAGACCCAGCTGCCCGCACCACATCTTCCTCAGAAATAGCAGGTCCGCAGTTACCTGCATCTTGTTAGTGGTGAGGTCTGAGAAATCTTCCACTTGCCAGAAGATCTTCTTGATGCCCAGCGTGGGCAGGATTTCCTCCAGGTTGTAGTGCCCGGAGATGGAGAACTTGGGCAAGTACAGGTGCACCGTTCTAGGAGCAAAAGCAGACTGAGCTGTGCAGGATCAGTTCAAGTAGAGGTTGGAAACTGTGACCCAGCAGTGCTCAGTAACCATCCTCCATGCTGCTGAGTGAACAAGTGAATGACTGATCTTGTGAGTCATTAAATGAGGCAGGCAGCAAAGAATAAAGACATGAACGAGTAGATGAGTGTAGAATGAGTTAGTAAGTTAATGAGTGAGCCAGTGAATGATTATGTGTCTAAAATTAATAAATAAATCATTAAATGAATGAATAAGTTGGTGCATGAGTCAATGAATGAATGAAGATTGGATGAATGAATGAATAATTCATCGTGAGCCAGGGCAAAGCTGTTGCAGGACTGTCTATATCCAGTTGTCTCTGTTCATTGCCTCTGTGGGGTCCGTTGCCTGGCACTAGACTGTGTGTGTGGGGGGGGGGGGGCTAGGAAGGTTGTTGTAGACAGGCAGGTTAGTGCTGGCTTAATGTCCAATTCCACCCCACTCCCTGATCGTGTTCCTCTCAAAGCAGCTGGTCGTTGGTCCACTTAGCGCCCCAGAGTGATTAAAACACCAGAATCAGGATCCCCTACCCTCATTGATTCTCCCCAGTTATCTGTTGCTGCTCCAGAGTTGTGGAGTCCTTGTGTATAAGAATAGGAGATATGAACCATGGAAGAGGGCTCAGCAAAAATGGGGTGCATTACCTGAAGTTCACCGTGTTCCTCCAGTAATAGATCAGATCCATGTTCAGTTCAGCCTCCACCTTGGGCATGGCGCCATTGTTAGGGAGGAGGAGCAACATGCTGGCGCGGTCACTCATGTATGGGAGCAGCACAACATGGAGACTGTACTTATTATCCCAATAGTAGAGTAAATTCGTGTTCTCAAATCTCATCGAGGTTATATTCACCCACTTTTTCGTGCTCAAGTAGAAAGTTGAATTGAAGGTGTAACCAGGGTTAAAGGGCATTTTCCACTTGGCTAGAGGCAGAAAGAACATTGGAGAGGTTGGTCCAGGTGACCCATCCTGCATGCTCTGATCAGGATTCCTGAGTCCCCAACACCCTCAACCCATCCCAGAATGGGGGTATCCATGTATGGATTGTGAAAGCATCTTAAGAATGGGGAGATTCCACAAATGTCGAATGGGAGATAAGGCAGTCTAGAGCTCGCTGATGTGCTGAACGAGAACCAATGGGATCTTGGGAGTACTGGGAGATGGGCGTCAGGGAAAGAGAGGAGCCATGTTTCTGGGAACAGTCAGCCCGGGAGAATGGGACCCGGTAAACCCTACAATGAATAATGGGCTGTCACTCCATCACAGAATGGGGACAGAGGGAAAACCCTCCAGAAAACCAAGACTCCTCTTCTCATAAATGACTTGAGGAGGAGCTGTGTAGGAGGAGGAAAGAGATGAGCTCACCTAACCTGGGAGAAGGCGAATCACACATGGGCGAGGGGTAGAAACACGAGTGGGCAGAGGCAGAGCTCAGGGACACAGGACAGGGAACAGGGGATCTGTACAGGAAGGCAGGTCAGGATATGGGCCTGGAGAAGCTGACTACAGACCAGAAGGAACTAATCTGCCCCTGGCATCACTCAGCCCTGCCAGGGAATCTGGTCCCAGACACCCCTATGCACAGGGTCGGGGATGGTGACCGTCCGTGGATTCTGCACCCAAGACCCAAGCTGATATTTCTGGGTCCCAGGCCATCTGACCTGCCCCTGACACAGACCTGGGAGCTGACTGAGGCCCTCATGTCACAGTGTCCAGGCCCATCCACCTGTTCCTGCCCCTGAACTTCACAGTTTCTGGTTAGGAACCCTGATTTCTGCCCTCTTCTGTCCGTTTCTCTGCATGACCATTCTGCTGTCCTCTCTCAGATCTTGCACTGCCTCCTGAGCCCCATCAGCTCTGTATGCTCCCAGACCTACTCCCAGCCCCAATCCCAAAGCAGGGACCCTAAAGCTCCTTCCGGGCCCACACTGGGGTCCTGTTCAGCTCCTGGTCTTCATGTGGGTGGCCGAGCCTTGGCATGGGCTCCTGGGGTATAGCAGGCTACACATGGCGGAAGCAGCCCAAAGGCTCAGAGCTTATGCCCATTTTCCTTCCACACGCATGGCCTTACCTTTGAAGAGGAGATAGTTCACCAAGACCATCTTGGTATCTATATCCAGGCCCTTGACCATGTTCTCGATTTTCCCGTGGGTTTTCTGCTTCACATAATGATTGATAAGCTTCACGGTGGAGAGGAAATCCTCAAACTGTGCAAAGGTGATATTGGCACCGTACAGTTCCTGGGCTTTTTGCTGGAAATCGTTGTTCAGCGCTAGCTGCTGGTCCACGAACAAGGCGGTGCTCAAGTCCTCCTTCAGGTTGTTCTTGGGCATGCGCAGGATGTTCCCCATCAGCTGGAAGACCTGGAGGATCTTGTCCTCAGATATTGTGGTGAGGTTGAACTTGAGGCTCTGTAGGATCTCGGTCTTACTGTTGCTTCTTGCCCCTAGTGCCAAGAAGGCCAGGGCCATGGAGATGCTGATCGGGGAGATGATGATGTTGGACCCGGGATTCTGGGTAGCCAAAATCTTGAAGATTCTGATGCTGAATTCATTGCTTCTGAAGGCTACTGTAGCGAAATCCCCGGGGAAAATTTTCTTCTGATCTTTGGTGTCCGTAAAACTACAGAAGGTGTGGAGACATAGCACAGCCCCCAGGAGTAGAACCAGCCGGACAGACATGCCTCCTCCCTCAGTCTGGAAGAAAAAGCATCTCTCAGGGTTTCCTGATGGTCATAGGCACAGGGCTCAGTCTACTTAGGGTTCCCAAACTCTCGAGTTTCCAGCATCTGTCAACTCTCATATTCGAGTTCCTGGGGCTGACCCATTTGGGGACGTGGGGTGCCCTGTCGAGGGTGTCTGACACCCAGACCCATGTCAGCAGTGCCGGTCACCCCACTGGCACCAAAGCAGCTGCCCGACAAAAGTGCAGTTGACAGAGGGCGTAATCTCAGCGACTTGCAGGACACTGAGGCTCCTCCCCTGAGGGTCTATCCCGGGCACGAAGAGGGGCTCACCTCAGCTACTCGTGCAAGGGACCCCTACACCTTCTGCAGAGAATTTTCCTGCTTGGCTCAGTCACCCCCAAAGCTTCGCGTCTCGGCAAATCTCAGAACACTGGCCATCACTGGACCCTCCCCCACACCCTCAAGCCCAGGACCTCCAGCCTCTGTCTGGCCTTCTCTGTCCCTTTCGCATGCCCACTGCCCAAACCCGTCTAGTTCTTGCACTTACTGTCCCTGAGCAGAGCAGAGACAAGGACCGTCAGGCTGTGAAGGTCTGAGACTGCTGAAGAACCTCCTGCAATACTCACTTATCCCAGCAGAACCCGCCCCCGCCCTCCTACCTGCCCTGCCCTGTCCTGTCCTGTCCTGTCCTGTCCTGTCCGTCCTATCTTGCCCAAACCGTCCTGTCCTATTCTGTGTTATCCTGTCCTCTGCCTCCCTGCCCCCAGCCAGGCTGCAGCAAAGCCTCTGGGCTCAGCTGTTAAACCTCTACCTTTTCCTCACCTATACCCCACTCCCACCCTGACCTTCTTGTCCCATAGTGACCCCACAGCACCGGAAAAGAACACCGCGGGCCACAGGAAGGAATACCCTCGTACAGGATTCATCCATCCCCATGCCTCAGCCCCACCTATCAGCCACAGGTACTTAGCACCAGCCTCTCCACAGCGCCCCCTCCAGTCAGCCACTCTGTTGAAGCACATGCTTGGGGAAGGGCTCCTGAGCAACCCCATCCATCTCCCTGCCCAGGGCCTTTCCTAGACCCTCTTCTTCCAGACCTGACTTGCCCAGTTCCTTCCACAAATGCTAAGGTCTAACTCCAGTTTTCGTTCCTTCCCTGAACACTCATGGAGGCTCTATCCCGGATGTAAACTGATGGATCACCAGGACAAACCTGTCCCAGGACTGAGCTTGGATTCAGTTGTGCTCTCACAGGAAAGTGCTCACAGGTTGAACTAGGAGGTCTCAGGCTCAAATCTGAACATAGGAAATAGAACACCAGAAATATAATGTAGAATTTTTCCAGGTGAACCCAAATCTGGACTGAGAACATTGAATCTCACAATCAGTGAGGGCTGATTCCTCTCAACCCTATCCTGACTGGAAGTACCAGCAGCTCCTCCCCACATCCAACATCCTCTGACATATAAACAGCCCAGTTCTACACTGATCCTCATCAAGCCACCAACCCACTAACTCCAGTTGCACAGCTCCTGGAGTTCATGGCCTCCAAATTTCGTAGTCCTGTATCAACTATCTTTTCAGATCATGATACACTAAAAATAGAAGTTAATGACATACAGTAGCAGAGAATCAAATCAAACACCTAAAATTAAATAGCTCACTATAATCAATCAGTGGGTTAGAAAAGAAATCAAAGATGAATTCAGATTTCTAGAAATAAACGAGAAAGAGGTCACGAGTTACTAGAACTTGTGGGAGACAACTAACGCAGTGTAAAAGGGGAAATTTACAGTTCTGCAAGATTTCATCAGGAAGGAAGAAATGACCCACATAAACACTTGTCTACACAGCTTAAGATCTTAGAAAAAGACCAACACAAGGAGCCAAACTGAACACGAAGATTTGAAATACCTGAACAGATCTATCAATAACAAGTAAATAAAAACCAAAAGCCCAGATCCAGATGAATTCACTAGTGTATACTTCCAAACCTTTAAAGAGGAAAGACTGCCAATAGCTTTCAAACTTTCCCAGAAAATTAAAGAAACAGAAACAACTTTCAAACTGTTTCTAGGAACAAATATCACCCTGATCTCAATAGCAGACAGAGGCACCTCAACCAAGAGAATTCCAGGCTGATGTCCTTCATGACCAAAGATGAAAAGATACTCAACAAAATACTAGCAAGTAGAATCCAGTAATTCATCCAAACGTTCATACACCATGAACAACTAGCATTTATCCCAAGAATTCAAGGACTGTTTGACATTCACAACTTGGTCAACATAATATAACTATAAATACAAGAGAAAATATAGAACAGGATTATATCAACTGTAGGCCCGAGTGGTTGCTGTCAAAATGGGAAAGTTTATGAAACCCAAGAAGGTGGTGCTGGTCCTGGCCGGCCCCTCTCAGGATGCAAAGCAGTCATCATGAAAACATTGATGACGGCACCTCAGACTGCCCCTACAGCCATGACCTGGTGGCTGGGATTGACCGCTACCCCCGCAAAGTGCAGTTGCCATGGGCAAGAAGAAAATCGCCAAAAGGTCCAAGATCAAGTTTTTCATGAAAGTTTATAACTATAATCACCTCATGCCCACAAAGTACTCCATGGACATCCCCTTGGCAAAACCATCCGCAACAAGGATATCTTCAGAGACTCAGCTCTTAAACGGAAAGCCCGGAGATAGGCCAAGGTCAAGTTCGAGGAGAGATATAAGACCGGCAAGAACAAATGGTTCTTCCAGAAGCTGCGGTTTTAAATGTTGTTTCAATAATTAAAAAATCAAACTAAAAAAACAGGATTATATCAAATGATGCAGAAAAAGCATTTGATAAGATCCAGCACCCATTCTTGCTTAAAACGCTCAACAAAATTGGAGATGAAGGTACTTTCCTCAGTATGATCAAAGCCATCCAACACAAGTCCACAGTATTATTCTTTAATAGAGAAAAATTAAAAGCCTTCACTATAAGATCAGGAACAGTACAAGGCTTTCCGCTCTCACCATATCTATTCAATATAGTACAGGAAGTACTTGCCATAGCAAGTATGAAAGAAAAAGATATTAAGGGAATCCAGATAGGAAAGGAAGACGTCAAGTGCTCATTCTTTGCAGATAACATGATACTATGCTTAGAGAATCCTAAAGAATCTGCCGGGAAGTTCCAAGCAACAATAGATTTGTATAGTAGAGTGGCATGTTACAAAGTCAATACCCAAAAGTCTATGGCTTTCCTATATACAAAAAAAGAGAGAATAAAGTTATATAAAAATTCTTTCCAAAACTATGCCTCCGAAAATCAAGTACCACAGAATCACCTTACCTAAGGAGATAAAGGACCTGTAAAAAAAAAAATCCCTATAAAATGTGCTATTTCAAGAAGTAAAAGAGGACTTGAGAAAACGGAGACACATCCTCTGCTTATGGATTAGGAGGATTAACACTGTCAAAATGGCAATACTCGAAAAGCATTATACACATTCGATGCAGTACCTATAAGGATACCCATGACAGTTTTCAAAGAAGTAGACAGAACACTCCTGAAATTTATATGGAACAAAAAACCTCCACAAATAGCTAAAGTGATCCTTGGGAAATAGGAGATGGGATGCATCACCTTCCTCAACTTCAAACTGTACCAAACAGCACTAGTAATTAAAACTGCATGGTATTAGAATAAAGACAGGCCCACCAATGGAATAGACTTGAATAACCTGATACACACTTTTAAGAATAAGACCATTCAATCTTTGGTAAAAAAGCAAGTAATATGAAATGAAGCAAGGAAATACTCTTTAACAAGTGGTGCTGGGGAAACTGGACAGCTACTTGTCAACAAATAATCTCACATCTCAGAACTCAGAACTCATGACTTGTCCTGAAGCCATCAAAACAGATAGATAAAACTGGATTAGACCTCAACATCAGACCTGAATTCATGAGGTTCACAGTAGAAAATGAAGGCAAAACCCTTCATGACATTGAAGCTAAAGGCTTCTTCAAAGATGAAACTCCCTGACCAAAAAGATAAACAAATGGGACTTCATTAAACTAAGAAGCCTCTGCACCCCAAAAGAAAGGGAGACCAAGATAAAAAGACAGCCCAAGGAATGGGAAAAATTATTTATGCAATACTCATCTAATAAGGGGTTAATCGTAAAGATATATAAGGCTCTGGTAGAACTTTACAAGAAAAGACATCCAAACCTATCATAAAATGGGGAGCAGAAATGAATTGAAACTTCCTCAAAGAAGAAACTCATGTTCCTGCCATAGAGGAAGACAGTATGGGGTGGTGGCGGGAAGGGTCATTGGTATTGAGAAATGGTACACTGGTGAAGAGACAGGTGTTGGAGCATTGTATGACTGAAACCAAATCAAATTTCATAGTACTGACAGTCTAGTATGAGCACAGCAAATTTGATGGGAAATTTGTGTAGAAGCCCACGAAGGTCAATCGGTGAAAACAATAACACAAAAGGAACAACTAGCACCAACCAGATCAGTGAATTTTCTGATTATGACTTTAGTAAAAGCATTGTGACATAAAAATGATTTAAAATAATCTCTTATTGATCAATGTTTTGATAATTCCATTTGCCATTTTGTTGTTACAGGGAACATGGAGTAAATCGTGTCTGGTAAGGGGTAGGCTTGGAAGGTGGGTAGGAAACTGGAAAGATTGGTTAAGAGTTCAAAATGGTGGTGGGACTAAGGTTGGAACATTGAATACCTAGTACAATTGTATTATGAACAACTTTGTAAATCACGGTGCTATAATAAAAGTAATAAGAAAAATACTCATAATTTATATTTATTTCTATAAATCAAATAATTTTTTTAAAATAAAAATTATGTAAGAAGTGTAATCACTCTTAAATTGGTTGCTTCGAGTTTGTAGGATGATGGAAAATCTCTATTGCTGCTCTTGTGTTTGATATGTATTTTTAAAAATGTCTTCAAATAAAAATTATTGGGATCG